GATAGTTTTTTGTCTCACCTGATTGAAGAACCCGAGCTTAACGACTAGTAGAAGTCAAGTGTAAAAATAAGTGATGACATGAACCACCGGATGAACCGACAATAACGAATTTGTTCGTCCATAGGTATTTTTAGAAAAAAAGAGGAAAAAGAGGCGGAGTGGGATGCCAGTTCCAATGAGTGGATTCGATACCCAGACCTCTTATCTATTCTACGCAACTCCCAGATTTCTCCGACGTTTTATTCAAACGCTACAGATTGCGCACTGAAATCTCTGAAAAACCAGGTTTTTCAGCCCAAAAACCATAATTTTACGCACTATATATGCTCAAAAATGTTGGCCTCATAGGTTTTCGACATCGCTGATCATCATAGTAAAATTTGTTTTGCTATACAAAATACTTTATTTTTCTTCATTGTTAAAATCGGCTTCAATTGGGATTGTTATCAGTCGATTTAATCTTGAATTCAACCTTAATTTGTAGTTCTGGAAGTGTTATTTTCATCTCCTGACATTTGCGTGGTCAGCGACCTTTAATACATGATTTCAAATTGCGCTATAAACTAAGTATTCTTTATTCAGAAAAAAATTGTACAAACGTCGATTTAAAAGTCATTTTCTTCTTCATTATCTGAATCGCCTCGCTAGTTAAACGTGGCTCGATATCGTTTCCCACAAAGTCAGCAGCAAATCGTCGAGATGTCGAAAATATGCAGCGCGCTGAGCGACGAATGAGACGAAATCGAGTGATTGGTCAGAAAATTTTGCAAACGATATAGCCTGATAGAGCAAAGAATTCTGAGTAAACTAAGCTATCTTCCACCTGTCTATAATGCTTTTCCACCGGAATATCTTGGTAATTTTCGCACCCTTTGTAGCCACTTGTAAATCGACTGTAGTTGTGTGAAAAAGCGCTATAGACAGTCGGGGATATCTTAGTTTGCTCAGAATACTTTGCTCTATCAGGCTATATCGTTTGCAAAATTTTCTGACCAAAATCCAAAGACTTGGTTTTCTAGCGGTCAAGTTTTCCAGACACCCTATTATCAAGTTTTCTCACTAAATGACAATAGGTTTTATTTATAGGTTTTCCCGTATGCTCTACAAGGTGAGACTACTTAGAAAAAAATCTGCGATGAGCATTGAGCATAACCTTTCGTGGCTTACGTTCAATGGCTCTTAGGGACATCAAACACCTACTAAAAATAACAGATCATTCGCAGTCAAAAGATCAATGTGGATTATTTTCACAGAAAGACCGGGTGTTGCTCTTCGAACAAAATAGATATACTTACAAGGCCAGAAGTTGAACGTTTCTATTTTTTCTCTCCTTTTGTTGAAAATATAAGTTCCTCTTTCTATAGTACTTAAAATGATGAAACTTTCCTATGTCCGAACTTATATCTTCATCGTCTTGTTTATTAACGTTTTCTTCGCCCTTTATAACATTTTGTGCATGTACATTCTTAAAAAAGTTAAATAAAAATCTATATACACTTACTTTCCCAGCACATCCAATAGAAGTGATGCGCTTAATCTCAATCTATTAGTATTTCGTTCGTTTGTCATTATATTGCGAACAGCTGGACTTAAAATGAAATATCGATTGTGTATTTATATAGTTCTCCATCCAATTCTGTCCAAAGTCAATTACATATCCAGGGCCGTAGCCAGGAGGTAGGCAAACAGAGCACGTGCCCACCCCTTGAGATTTCACTTCAATGTATAATATACAGTAAATTTATACACTGAATATCTGAGTAATAATATTCGAAGACTGAAATTTTTTCTGTGTTTGCCTGCAAGGGGCATTGCAGTCTTCTGCTATAAACAATAAAATGTTCAACAATAGTGGAAGTACATAACAGCCCGAGAAATCATTTTCTTCACTTAACTTCATAAGTTAAAATACAAAAAGAATCAACAAGCATGTGTATCATACATGACCTTCATGTGAATTTACTTAAATACGTACAGTCACTCTAACTGTCAATATTTCTCTTTTTCTTCTTTCTTTCTCTTCCTGTTCATGTGATACTGTACATGAACAAAACAGAACGAGGATTGACATCAACAAAACGAGAAAGAAAGAAGAAGAAAAAGAGAAATACTGACAGTTAGAGTGGCTATACATATTTAGTCAAATTCACATGAAGGTCATGTGTGATACACATCTAAACCGCTTGTTTGATTCTTTTTGTATTTTATTTTGTGAAGTTAAGTAAATAAAATAATTTTTCGGGCAGAGTCTGTTCATGAACTTTCTTGGCTAGAGCCTTATGCCTAGGTAATAGCTTCCTGAATAGACAACTCCTGCGTGAAAATCTTCTCTATTTGGAGTGTTTTAGTTGTCTTTCTTATACGGTATAAGGCAGATACTGCTGATCTGCAAAATGATGAAGCAAGAAATGAGGAGGGTGAAGAAACATCAAGTCAGCAACAACAAGAGCCACTGAACAACAATGATATTGGCTTGCTTGTAGACAAACAACAGATTGAGCGTAAAATAATTTATGAAATGTTAACAAACCCTTGGTCACCACCAAATAATTACAAATTTAGTACATTGAATATTTACGGTGTAGCAAGATCTGTCTGTTCGCATTCATGGCTTTCGACTTATCCGTGGCTATCGTATTCACATGTTCACGGTGAAGTATTTTGTCGTTATTGCGTTTTATTCAATAGAAAACATGCAATAAGCGATCGAGCACAAAATACATTAGGTCAATTGGTTTTAAAACCCCTTCGTTCATTGAAAGATGCATCTGAGTTTTTAAAAAGACACGAGAAAAATGATTATCACTTATTATCAGCAACACAAGCTGAATATTTTGTCAAAACCTGGTCACATCCTGAAACAAGTATTGATCGTGTATTAGATAAAGAGGATAAAGATCAAATAATTACTAATCGAAAAATTTTAACTAACATTGTTAAATGTATTCTATTTTTGGCTAAACAAAATCTTGCTTTTCGTGGTGGTGATGACGATGGTCTGCCAGATGCAGCAAAACTTCACCTTGGTTTAGGTGAAAACGTGTGCAAAAAATGCAATATATATGAGTGGTCAAATCCAGAACCAGTTAATAAATATTTGTGAAAATTTCATACAAAAACAAATAATCAAACAAATAGCTGATCAACAAAAATTTTATTCCATAATACGAGATGAAACATCAGACGTTAGCGGAATTGAACAACTCTCACTCTCTGTACGATATTTATCTTGGAAAAATGATGGTATAGAGATCAAAGAAGATTTCATTGGTTTTACTCCCCTTCATGATGTTACTGTTGCTGGTATATCCGACAAAATTATTGAATTTATACGCGCTGCTGGTCTGGATGTATTTTATTTAAGAGGTACAAGTCTGTTTCCTATTAATTGTCTTGTGTAATTCGAATATGTCTTTATGACAAGGTTATGACGGTGCCAGTATCATGTCTGGACATCTTAATGGTGTTCAAAAAATTATATCTGATATTATACCGAAGGCGATTTATGTTCATTGCTTAAGTCATTCATTAGACTTAGCAATATGTGACGCATGTAGTGAGAGTATAATAAAATCATTCTTTGAATCAGTTAAAGTGATAAAGATGGAACTTTTTTGTAGATGCCCACCCCTTACCAAATTTCTGGCTACGGCCCTGTACATATCTAAATAAAACATAAAAGAATTTATTATGTAATTCGACGACCATATGAGATAAGTAGGGGTAAAAAAATAGTGTTGCCTATCTGTCTGTAGGTAAGTTGCTTGAAATTTTTGAATATTGAAACCTTTTTTCTCCAATAATAATAATTAGTAGAATTTGAAACTACAAGAACAGCAGATAGGTCTATATAGATAGGACCGTCAGACTGTTTATTCTTGTGGTTTCTATTTCTGTAATATAAGCGCATTTTATTGACACGATTCCATACAAAATGATTTTTAACATTTCCCTTTCGTTCAGTTCTACTTTTTACCAATTGGAACGTATACATAGCTGTCATTACTGTTTTCTGTCCATTCCCAGCGGCAGATGGGGGAAGTCCCCAAGAGGGAAGATCTTCGCAGAATCTTACTGACGAGGGAACCTCCCGAGGTGTCCATCTCGGATTTTTTTCATTCATATGCCAATTGATAGGTCACATAGAGATATGAAAAAGCCTCAAAGGATATCGGCGCAATTTGCTTCCTTTCATCCGTTGTGCCTTTTGCTCCAAAGTCCTCTG